CCCCAAAAATCCTTGGCACACCCCTTTTCGCACTTCCCTGCCCACACTCCACTCCGATCAGGAAGTCGTGCTGGGCGAGAGGTTGGTATCGGAGCCCGACACGTGGCTAGGCTCTTAGGATTGATAGCACGTTAATTAGGCGACCTGGCTAACCGTGGGCGACCTCGCCCTCGGAACGCGCATAGACGCGACCCTATCGTCACCAAAAGCAGATCTGCTAACCGACGAGCAGCCAATATGGCTGCCAATGTGCAAAATCCGGTTCCACAACAAAATATTAATCCACCTAATCAACCTGCCCCACGTGCACGAGCTCCCATGTCGCCACCGGATCTCTATCTATTTGATCCGGCGCACCATCTCGCAGGAGCATGGCTGGCCACGCTTAGAGCACAGCAGTACGATGATCACGAAGCACAAATCAACATTCCGGCTCGAATGGGATGAGACGCTCATAATTGGTATAGTACATATGTATGGGTGGATCTCCCGACCTTCGAACGGGATTTTACGAACCGATTTGATTATGTTCACCCTGAGTTGGCATTGTACATGATCAAGGACCGAGTGCAAAAACCGCTCGAATCCGTTGCAGAATATCGAAACCGGTTCTAAAGGATGTTCGTAAAAACCGAGCGAGGTGAGCAAGTAGGGAAATATCTGTTCATTGACGGACTCCGCAGTCGAACAATAAGGGCGAAGTTGCGAAAACAATTTTCCCCCATCACTCATACGCTACAACAAATTATGGCTGCTTCCGAAGAAATGTAACGGAAATTCGCGGCGAACTTCCTGGAGGGAGAAAACTACCCTAGAGACGGAGATTCGACCGAGCTCGCACGAGCTAGAGCTGAGCTGGCTGCCTTGCAGAACAAATTTGAAAACATGGGATTTGTATCAGGACCTGTCACCTATATGGAATAGATAGGCCCCAAACGAGTAATCCTAAGGAGACTTCGAGCATCTCTGCTCCTATGATACCCTCACCCGTCAGGGCGTTACCACCGCCACCAGTTGAGGCTCCCGCACGAACAAACGAATCGGCGGCCATTTTCGAACTAACCAAAACCTTGATTAGTTTGATCCAAGAAAGTAAAAAGGAGCAGCGAGAGCACAATGCTCGGCTAGAAGCCATGATGAGGAACATGCGACCCTTTGCAGTACGCGCTCCTCCGATGCAGCAAGGATTAACCCCGGCCCCTGCGCTCAGAGGAGTCACAAATAATATGAATGTCTGTTATGCCTGTCATCAGCCAGGACATCTAGCCTGTGATTGCCCCCACCGACCCCCGCAACAGCGAATTGGGGTCGCACCTATAGCTGCGGCTCCCATCGCCAACGAACCTGGACGAGTCGGAGCCTTGATGGAAAAAGTAGAGGGTGGGGGAAGTGCCCTGGCTACCTCGGAAGAGGCCGCCGAACTAATCCCGCTAGATCAGTACGTATCGCTGGGATATCCCGGGCTCGGAATGATCGGAACCATCAGGCCAGCACCAGAACCGAAAGAGGTGGCGGAATGACGAACATCTCTGGGAGAAATGGAATCGGGAGGACCCACCTTCGTCACAGGGGAGATCGATGTATTAAACATCGTCCGAGCCTTGGACCATCAGATTCCCCTTCCGATCGGTCATCTACTATCGATCTCCGAGCAAGCCAACGAGCGAATGTTATAGCATTGCAAAGCGAATCGAAAGCGATTCGCCCTCGCCCGAGCACCGAACGTAAAAGCCAAAGGTCCCGCGCCGGAAGAAAACCCAACAAGCACTCCGAATCTGATATGGATAGGGTTAATTCAAAAAGACGATCATTTCCTACAGATTAAACCAATTTCGTGGAAATCCGCCGAGTGCGATATAAAAAATTTGGGAATTCCTTACAATATCATTATAGATTCGGGAGCAGTTGTGTTGGCTATTTCACTGAGAGTGGTCGAAACGGCAGGCAGGAAAAACGATCTGATCATGCTCACCGAAACAGCTCGTTTCGGCAGATGAGGAAAAGATTAAAACTGTGGGTAGAATGACCAATGTCGCCTTCCAGTTAGGAAAAGTACATGCGCTTGGGGATGTCGTAGTACTAGATGTTAATACATATGACGTTCTTTTCGGACTTTCCGCTCTTGTGGCGTTACGAGCAAACCTGGACCTCGAACGACGATCGATCGTCCTCCGAAATACAGGAGGAAAATCCTCTGCCGTGCCTATGCGATTGACCCTTCGCACTACCATTAACACGGTCCCGCGGGTTTCGCCGATGATAGCAGGAACTCTCCACATGGTCTCCTGGGATGAATCCACAGAGGGAAAGTCATCAACTGATGATGCGGACAGCAGTACCGAAGATGATCCGGAGATCTTGAAATAAGCACGACAACGCGTTTACTACCCGCCGCCCAAAACGATAGCGAGAACGATGCAACTGACCAGCCGAAAAATTCAAAGGACCAAGGCGATGATCTTGGGTGAGCCCCTCGTGAAGATTTCGAGGGTGGTCGATTCTTTGGAACCCCCTCAAACTCTGTACGAAGGAATCACCCCTCTCCTCGCCCGGTACAGCGACAAGAAGCATTACTGTGACATTACGGATCTACCCAAGTCCTTACTAACCTCGGCTAAAGAAGTGAGATTGTTACGCTTGGGGGCGAAAGCAAGCTCTCTGGAACCCCCTGGGCGTTTTGAAGCGGAAACAGACGGACTGGGGATAAAGATCGCAACTAAGAAAGTGCCCTGGCAGGATGTTTGTGACGGGATTACCCCGGAAGGACACGTGGCAATCCGAGAAGAAGATGCTCAGATGATTGTCACGGTGTTCTCCTGGCGATCGGATCATTCATTCATCTCGGTGCCTCCACCCGACTTGACAAAACAGGCGAACACGAAACTGATTGACATTTGGATCTCGGACCAACTTTTTGAACTGCATGTTCCACAATATGTGCCGGATGAAATCCACCGGGTAATTGCGGATATTCTAACGGAATATCAAGGAGCGATTAGTGTGTCAGACACTGACATTGGGTTGTCATTAGTAATCCAACATGAAATTCAGACAAGAAATCACACCCCGATTCATTGCAAACCTTATCGCTATTCCTTGATTGAACGCAAAAAGGCTCTCGAACGAATTCGGGAGTTCGAAGCCAGCGGTTGGATTGAACCCGCTACTGGACCTTGGTCTTTTCCCGTAGTGTTAGTACCGAAGAAGAACGGAGCGATTCACATTTGCATTGATTATCGCAAGCTGAATGAAATCACGATCAAAGATGTGTATCCCCTCCCCCGGATTGATGATCTATTGGATGCGATTGGATGTGCTAATTATTTCAGCAAGTTTGATATTCGGCATGACTTCCATCATATTCTGGTAAGGGAAGAAGATCGACCGAAAATGGCCTTTGTGTTGTTTGAGGGAACATGGCAGTGGGTTCGGTGTCCTGTGGGGATTTGCAATGCGCCTGCCACGTTTCAGCGAGCGATGAACATCACGTTCCATAACTTCGTCAACAAGACACGGCTGACGCAAGGAATGATTAACTTCTGCGTGATCGTGTACATGGCCGACATCCTGGTCTATTCGAAAACCTATCACGGGCACACGCAACACATCGAATGGACATTGGGTGCATTGAGAAACGCTGGGTTCAAGATTGCGCTTAAGAAGAGCGAATTTTTCCTCTCGGAAATTTCGTTCTTGGGCCATGTCGTGACACGTGGAGGATTGCGGCCGGACTCGAGAAAAGTTGCGGCGGTAAAGGAAGCTCTGGTTCCCACATCACTGACGCAGGTTCGAGCCTTCTTGGGACTAGCGTCGTATTACCGGCGCTTCATCAAGGGTTTTGCCGCGATTGCACGACCACTAACGAATCTGCTACGGAAGGACCAGCCTCTCAGCTGGGACACGGAGTGCCAGCAGGCCTTTGCAACCCTCAAGGACGCTCTGGCAACGGCCCCTATTTTGATTCGACCGGACCCCTCGAAGCAGTTCATTCTCATCACGGGCTGGCAACCGGAAGCTATTTCCGCTATTCTAGCGCAGAAGGGGAACGATGGTCGCGAACACGTCATCGAGTATGCGTCACGAACCGTACCGGACGAACGAAGAAACGACTCCGCACCTCAGGGTGAGTGTTATGCGGTAGTTTGGGGAATCCAACACTTCCATCCGTATCTCTACGAACAGAAGTTTTGCCTCCTAACGGATCACGAGCCTCTGCTACCGCTAAAGAAACTCACCAACTACATGGGCATGATTGGCCATTGGGTGGTGCGACTACAAGAATACGACTTCGATATCGTCCATCAAAAGACAGAGCGACACAGCAACGCGGACGGGCTGACACGTCTGCATCGACCTGCCAAGGTACCAAAAGACCGTTGGAGGCTGTGGCGTGCAGAATTCGTCGAGCTCTCGTTTTGCCTGCTACGAGTGGATCTGAACTGGACGTGGCAAGGCGATCAGAGACCTGTATCAGAGATTGTGGAGTTGCTCGTCATTCAGGCGTGGAGGACCAACGTGGCGGGAGATCTTCTGGGATTCGTCTTTGGAGCAGTGGATCAGGGAAACTGATCACAGATCGTGCGCGAACTTACGATCGTGATCGCGCGATTGGCCGACGAACTCCCTCTCGACATCGTCTCTCAGGGCGACGAAGAACCCGTGCTACATACCCTCTCAAGGACTCTAGCCCTGAGCCTCCAGTGGTTGGCTTGTATCGAGGAGCGCTGGGCAGACGACCGTTTTCCCTCCCGTAGCGAGTACTTGCACGTCCACAGCCTGACTAATCCCCGCTTCGGCGTTCGAGTGGGCGGCGCTGAGAGCAGAAGAGGAGGCCGAAGAGGAATCGGAAGGAGAATTGAGGAGAGAGGTTGGGGAAGCAGCGGCCCGATTGGCCGAGGACGAGGAAGAAGAGCGCGAAGCAGAAGAAAAGTCGGCGGAAGCTGAAGAAGAAGAAGAAGAAGAAGCAGAGGAGGAGACTTCGGAGGAAGAGGAAGAGGCCTATAGCGAGTACAGCGAGGGCGAGCAAAGTGAGGAGGAGGACGAAGACGACGAAGAAGTGGAAAGCGGGGACGATCAGGAGCCAACGCACGACGAGCTCGAGTGGGTGCCAAGACCGGATCGGCGAGAGGAGAACCCGGAGGCTGCTGCGCAGCGCAAGAAAGAGATTATGGAAGGAAAGCGGCTGGCGATCTATCCCGCGTCGAACGATCCTTTCAAGGATCCCGAGCCGCCCAAGCCGGAACATGGAGACCTTGCTGCCACGACCTCGGGAGCCGCGACGACAAGGCGCCGATCCCGATCCCGATCCACGTCCCCCTCCGCCTCCGCCCGTCCCCCAATCCGTCAACCTGTCAATGAGGGGCTTAGCCCTTCGTCCCCGATCCATATACCACCATCCCCTTAGCTATCTCTCTTTCAATCAGTATTTCCATCGCGTCGTCTACCCCCGTAATCCCTTCCCCATCGCCACCTTCCGACATTTCTATTCCGCCCGCCTAGAACCGACTGTCCACCCCCACCCTTCCGTTCAGTGTGCTGTCCCCGACTACTCCCGCGTGCGAGAACCATGATCGGTTCCGCACAGACGTCCTCCGAACCCTCATATCCCTTTACCCAGACTACCTCGCTTCCCTTCCCCGCAGCGGCCAGAGATTCCCCCGCTTCCATCGCATTGTCCATTTTCAAGAACTTCCCTATGACCTCACTGCGATCGGGCGCTTTATACCCGAGCTTACGATGGAACCCCGCCCTCCCTTATACGAGTATCGCCTTCCCTTCCCCCTTCCGATTAATTATTGATGCAGCGGTAATGGACGCGTGTCGCGACGACGGCACGAGAAAGATCCCGTCCTTGGATCGTCGAAGAGCCCAATATGAGGAACTAGTAGAAGAGCAGAGTTGCCACGTTGGATGACGTCCACACGCAATCGAACGATAAGTGGCATACAGAGAATTGCTCCGCGTGTCGATCAATTAGAGAAATCGACACGTGTCAACAAGCAAGAAGGAGCTTGCTAATATTGGAACCCCCTGGGCATCACATATGTGACGAACCACTTTCTGTAACGCGCGATTTTCTGCGCGAAAGCAATGAGGAGTCCTAAGCTGGGAAGATTGGGCCAATTACGGGAGAGCGGGATCGGTGGAGAATTGCATCAGTGTCCTCGCTTTTTCATCCTTTTCGTCGTTTCTTTTTCGAATGGCCGGGCACGGGGTCAGGTGTGTCTTGGGACGACCGGTTGATTGATTGGTCGGATGGTTGTTTGGCGCGACGCCACGCGCGCGCGCGGTTAATAAATGTTGACGTCATTTCTTTTGGTTCGGTTTTTGATCTTTTGGGTGCGGACATCGCGCGGGAAATTGCTTCGTTCTTTTTTGAAATTCCTCTTGAATGTTTTTCGAATTTTGTCGAGCCCCCAATGGCTCTCGGAATTTCGGACTTTCCTTCTGGAATTCGTGCTTTTTGCCTTTTCGCATTAGATAGGAATTTAGGAATTCAGTAATTAGGATTTTTTCTGCCGCGCGGCGCCTTTTGTTTACGCGCTTCTTCATGCGGCTGCAACGGTACTCTGATTAGTGGGCGCCCTTAATCGTATGTGTAACTGTACTTTTGGGCGGGCGCCATTGTAACTGTATCTCTCTTCTTGCACTTCGTCTCTCCCGCCCTCCCTCTCTTTCTTTTGCTGAAATTTTGTAAGCCGCGGCTTGCATGCTCGGATCGATGCGTGGAGAAGGGTTGCCTCCCCCACGCCGCGGCC